AGTTCGCTCAACTCATCTCCTTGTTCGTATTACCCTGTTCTACATATGTCCTTCAGCTTCAAAACATAGTAGGATACCAGCTACCTTCAGGGCCTGATTTTGCCACCACGGAAGTAGGGAGCAGCTGTCCTTGCAGACAGGTAAATTTTCATATGACCAAAAGGCTACAGACAATGAGACAATGAACCGTGAAACACCCGCGGTGTAGTTAGTGCTTTCCAGTCAGGAGCGGTGCACGGGCCTGTTCTGGGGGCTGAAGTTTCACAGGTGAAGTTGAGCTTCACTTGATTCACTGAATCAAATTTGACATTCGTTCCGAAAAAAAGGGTTTAATTTCTCAATTTCTGATACGACTGTCACCCTTGTTTTCTTACCTCTAACATAGCAACAAGCTCGGATTTTGAAGTGCCAATTCTATCTCGATCACAGCTGTCCACTACATAAATGACTGCATCTGTATTTGAATAGTAACACCGCCAATATGGCCTGCGGGAGAAAGGTAAGTTCCAGTCACACAATTTGCACTTTCAGCGGTGTTTTTCAGCCAGATAATGAAAAGCAGATTACCCACAGGAAGTAAAAACTCTCTGGGGTGAAAGGCCCCAGGAAGCAAGCAGAAGATATTTTCAAGAGGCAACAAAAACGAACAGACAGTACAAATACTCCTAATAGCAGAGAAAAAAAAAACAAAAAACAAAAACAACAAAGCAAGCAGCTTGAAAACAGGCAAAGGAGAGAAGTGCTGGAGGCAGATTTATTTGGGAGTCAGCCTGCAGGACATCAGGTCCATAACTGAGGGACAGGGAAGCAAAAGAAAGTTCAAGCACACAAGCGTCTGCCATTAGATAATCATTATGGTCACCAAAGAAGGATAAACAGAGAGATCTTAAATGACTAACTCATACAGGCAAGTAATTAAGGATCAAAACAAACCACCTTTTTCAGAATTATGTTACTGAAACTAAGGAGGGAAGGAACCTGCCCCTTACTAACTAACTACGCTGGACATTACCACCTAGTGTTCAAAAAGGAATCACGAAGAGATCACACAGGGGTACTGAAGACATCACTACCATTATGCACATAATGACTCATTACAAAACTTGTAAAGCTTGCTAAAAAAAAAAGTTATCATCTATACTTAAATTCTTCCGAACTTTGCATTCTTAAAATATTTAAGTATCTTTTTGAGTTTACATCACTCCCCTCTTTCTCCAAATGCTACACAACTGCCTGCTTTACCAGTAAACTTGTTTTTCAAAGCACAACTGTACACAAGTGAGAACATTCACTTGTTTCTTTCCAATCTCTCGTCCAAAACAGGTTTTACTAACCAAATTCTGTGAGATGAAAGTGCTCTCCTGACGATGTTTTTTTTAAAAACTTGAAAGAACCAATCTTCAGAATTGCCAGCTACAAGAATTCCAAGAACTTTTAGGACTTTTTTGAAATTTAATTGTATCTTTCAATTTTAAGAGTTCTATTACCTTATGCTTGTCTGTCCTCCCAAGTCCCAAACTTGAAATTTCAGATTCTTGTACGTCACTGTCTCAACATTGAAGCCAATGGCTGAAACAAAGTTAAATAATTTCACTGTCAGGGACTTTTCTTTATTTTTCTGAAGAACATTACAGCACTTAGTTTAAAATTTTCAGGCCTGAAAATTCTCAGGAGCTACATAATGAAGTCCATGCCCTTTGCCAAGTTACCCCAACAAACATTTGTGGCTCAAAATAACGCGGTAATTTTTTTCTTGGAACAATAAAAACACATTGTAAACACGTTGTAGAGATTTGTAACACATACAAAGGTTGTTAAAAATGAACAGAAGTGTGCCTGAAACCACCAAAGGAAACAGAGCAAGGGTTAAAGGAATGGCCTGTTTTGATAACGAAGTACACAACTGACAGCAATAAAGCACTAAGGAACACATCCCTCGTGTCAACACCAGATCTGCGCTCTTGTAAGACCACAGCAGAACCAACTCCTCAGCAGAAGACAGACCTGACGCTGTGGTATCTGGAAGACGGCAATAAGGTTACAGCATATCACATAGGTCCTTCCTTTTCCTGCCAGCCCAGAGGAACACAACAGAGTGAAGTGAACAACGGGATGCAGACTGCCTAAAACGCATGGAGGCTGAAATAAGCAAAACCCGAGGGCAAAAGGGTTATGCTGTAGTAAGCTGCTGGCTTCTAAAAGGTGAAAAAGACCTGACCAAAAAGTCAATTTATCGTGGCCATTCAGGAGGAACCCAAGTGACATGACAGGGACTCAAAAGCCAAGCGTCCTTCACATTACACAGAGTGATCCTAGCCAGACCACTTCGGCTGGGTGCCTGTCAGGGGTGGGTATGGCTGCCTGAATGCTGAGACTACTGGTGAAATCAGTTACGTTTTTTTAAATAAGCATCATCTCCTTCCAAGAGATCTCACAGAAGAGTTTTGTTACACTTTCTACATAAGGTTAAACCATCTGATTTGTTCTCTGTGTTAAACAGAAGTATTTATATAACAAACTGAAGACCCTTGTGAAAAAAAAAAAAAGAAATTAAATAGGTGCAATTCACTGACACCATGCTATGTAAAATTATTTTTTGTACAATAATGCTCATCTCTAGAATTCGCACTATAGCTATATTTCGAGACAAAAGACTTATATAGTCAACAGTTACCATTTACTGAACACTTACCTATGAAGAAAAGCCTGCCAAGTCACGGTAACAATCTTAAGGCCAAATACTTTTTGCATTCAGCAGAGCAGCATAAAACGCTCCTTTATGTAGCCCTTCTATAGCACACCGCAATACTGTTACGAGAGAACGTTCTTAAATACAGCAGCGCAAGGCTCCCACAGCCCAAGGTCCTTTTGTTTGTGAAGGAAGCGTGTAGCGAGTTCAGCCGACAAAGGTCACGGGTCAGAGCTACAGGGAAATCGCCTGCTTTCGCTAAGGGACCGATCACTTACTTGGAATGGTGGTAACAACCTCTCCAACTTGTAACCTGTAGAGAATGGTTGTTTTTCCTGCTCCATCCAGTCCCAGGATGAGAATCCTCATCTCTCGAGTTCCAAACAAACTGGAAAAGATGGTGGAGAAAAAGCCCCCTACAAAAAGCAGAAGGGAAAGAAGTTTCATTGTCAGCTAGCAACAGGGAGGACACAGAGGGGCAAGCAGATCGACCTCATTTCTGGCTAAGCAACAATGTGTTTCTTTTCTCCAGTGAAAACAAGTTCAGTTGTCACCCAGATAACCATGTGCTGAACCACACTGTATTTTCCTGGGTTCATGCTGCTATTTTATGGTAGCTCAATCCAGCAAGATCAGGTTACAGCAGCATGAAGCTTCCTCATCGTGGTTACAATTTTTTTTCTTCTTTTCTCTCATTTGCCAAAATCTGAGCCAACTTCTCTCGTTTCTATCAGAGTCTTATCTTTTCAATGCAAGAGACTATATAAGGACATGCTGAAGCCTGAAAGAATTC